AGAAGGTATGTATGCTAGAGTGCAGTTCTGAAGCCTTTGATATTCTTTACAAATTGGTAGTTAGGCTTCTAGTGAAATCATATTAGCTGTACATCATAAAAGGTGTTTGTATGAGTGCCGATTTGAGAAGAGGATATATATGTAGGACATGTCCTTTCAGAACACTAAGAAATATTCCTTGTGTCCTTAACTTTTTTCTAATTTGATACATTTTATTGCATTAATGATTAGAATTTTCTTGTAAGTAATTCTTTCCATGTTAATTTTTTCTTTGTGTACTTTCCCCATTTTTATAATTCCATATAAAACAGAATATATGTTTTGTAGTTCTTTCTTTGGCTTTTCACAGCAGAAGAAAGGCACACCTGGGAAAATATATTTTAGTTCTATAATTACAAAGAATTCAGGAGAATAGAGAACTTGTAATTGAGGATGTTTTCCTCCCTCCCCAGTCTGGGATGGAAAACAAAGTTTTCAGTCGTCCTTTTTTCTCCTCCACTTGGTATTGTTCACCGGGACAGTGAAGTCTTCCTGATGGACTTCACAAAACAACTGTCTTTGTCTGTTGACTGTCTTCCATGCCGTTTTCTCTCTGGTATGTTCTGATATCAAAATTACTTGGTTGGGAATTTTTCTTTCTGGCATGGAGAAATGTGGAGGGAACACCTGTGAAAAGTGTAATGTTTATATGAAGTTGCGTTTTTGTGTCTCATGTTTACTCTGCTCTTAAATCACTGCAGGAAAACGACACAACATGGCCATTACCTGTGAAAATTTTCTGCAGAGATAAAGAAGGAGAGTGTGTTGATGTCTCCAAATATTTGATTAAAAGGGGTTTGGCTTTGAGAGAAACGAGGTATAGACTGTTTTTTTAAAACATCATTTTGTCATGGAGGCTTCTTACTTGCCTGTGTAAATCTTCGTATCTGTGTGTGCTCAGACATGAATTGCCTCTTGTTTGCTCTTAAAAATGATTTATAACCTAATCCTGAGGAGCCAGCTTAGAAGTAAATTCATTCAGAATTGCTAAATGTTTAAATCCCTAGACATGTTTACTTTATACTTCCCCCTTTGCTCTGGCATTTATCAGTACGTTTTAAACTAAAGGAAAAGAGAATTACACAGTGGGTACCAGATCTGAACCCTTTGGCCTCATTTGCTTAAGCAGAAATGTTTAAGCTTTATGTTGGAAATTCCGGTAGGTATATTCCAAAATCTATTTGTGTGATATAGGTAGCAAGTGAGTAGAAATGGGTAGCCAAAAAAGTAATTGAACAATATTTACATGTAAAGATCCTTTCAGATACTAAGTTTGGGGTTTAAATACCTTTGGTCCAAGGGGAGAAGGATCAGGATGTCACTGTAACCCTAGTTTCCTCTTTATCTTTTCCTTCCAGAGGTAGAGGTATATTAGAATTGCAGATACATGTTCCAGGTGGTCACCTTCTACCATACATGGCCAGATCTCTTTTTTTATCTTAGATTATTATACCTTACCTTATTTGGATCAGGACCCCAGTCTTGATGAAATGGAAGGAGAATGAGAGATCAGAAATAATACGGAACCCGAGGTAGTTGGCCGGGTGTGGTAGATGCTGACTTCACTGCCTGGGCCTTGGCAGGCAGCCAGGCTCTGCATCTAGTCCTGCATTCACTGACTTCAGGCTAACACAGTTCCTCGCTGAAAGAAATGTTAAAGTGAAAAATGCTGGGCAAGTTTATATTAACTAACAATATCTGCCACTAATTTAATGTTCTTTTTTGGCACTAAAACTACTACCTCAAGGCTGGGAGTGATGAGGGAGCAGTGTTAGTTGAGGAATTATGCAGCTATTATCTTATCAGTGCTCATTTCCTTTTGAAAGAAAATACAGGAAAGGGGAAGAAACAAAAATCTGCCATCATTTTTCTAACATAAACAATGTTAATATTTCCTTCTAGGGTTTTTATAGGCATGTTTTTTTAATTGGAAGGGAATAACAGGAAGTAAAGCAATTATGAATGAATATAGCATGTTACTACCACTAACACTTAATATCTGAATAGTATGGAAAAACTGTATATTTTAAGGGACTCATTATCTTTGTATTATTTTATGAATGTTGATAACTTGCCACATGTATGATCTGTCTTTGGGCTAAAGTAGAATAAGCTTGAAGCTGTTTTATTTCCCAATAACATCTAGTTAAATTGTATGATACTTGGGATATACTTAATAGATTTTAAGAGAGAATAGCATGTAAATATGGGATAGTAATTTAATGCATTTAAGTGAAATTATATTGCTTTATTATCATCAAGCTCATGCATAATTTAAAATAATTTTCATTATAACTTAAAGTATGCTCATTTTTATGTAACAAATTAGACTAGGATATCCTAGACTAATTAGACTAAACTAATCCTTCAAGTATATTTGAAGGATTCTTTTTATATTGTTTTCCCGGAATTTTTTTATTTGCTCATGGTTAGATATATTCTTTTTTGCATGTTACAGAACTAATAAATTATATAACAGCCATTCATTATCCCAGAAGTCTCTGGAAATCCCACTGGTACAAGGAGAGTCAGTGGTTACTAAGTGTATTAAAATTAACTCTGACCCTGACAAAAAAGCTGCTGATATTCTCAGTGAACACGAGGTGTCTGAATTTAAGGAGAAAATTCTAGAACCAAGAACCACTGGATGCTATAAACCACCAGCTATTCCTAACCAGAAAGTATTTGAGGCAGTAGTCAGCTGCATTGGTGACGATGGAACTATATTTGTGGTACCTAAATTATCAGGTAAGATCTTTCACATTATGCAGTATTCTGTAAAAGTGGTCGCTTTTACTACTAGAGAATTTTAATTGGAAGGGAATATCTCTAGTAAAATACACATGGATTGAAGTTCCTTGGGCAGATATTTAACCTTTCTGAACCTCTTTTTCACTGAGTTGTTGTGAGGTTTGAATGAAATAATGCATGAAAAGTGCTTTGCACAGTGCCTAGCACATGAAAATCATTTATTGAGACATTGGGAATGGATAAACTTTGGGCCTAAGATAAGCATGGGGGGACAGGTTCCAGTTATACAAGTTTGGAGGCTCTCTAAGAAAAAAGAATACAAACGTTTATATTCGTTTAAAAGTGAGAAAAGAAGTCCCAACAAATGACTGGAGAGTCAGGGCCATTTGAGATTCAGGTCCTTCCTGAGATCTCTTTAGCTTATGTACTAATGCTTCCTTTCTACAACCTGAGTGTGTCCAGGACACTTGATGATTCACAGCAGCTCTAGCTTTCACGGGACTTAAGCTCCGTTAGCTTCATAGTAAGTCCACCTACGGATAGGGGTATGGGGACTACGAATTTGTTGAAATTTTTGTCTCATGTGTTGATCTGCTAAATACTGTTCTTTAATTTGAAAACCAGACTAAATCTGTGTAATTGGCTATTCTAGAAGTGAGCAGTGTTTCAGACCTGTAGCAACAGTACTTAATCCAGAAACTTTGCTTGACGTGTGTAAATAGTCATAGCTAGAACTGGTTGCCAGATGCCTTACTTCCAATCTCCTGCAATACTGATAATGTGGGCTAGCACTATTAAACCCAGTTTACAGAAGAACAGACTGAGGCTTATGCCCAGGAGCTCGCAACTAAAGTAGTAGAACTGTTATAGGAACTGACACCAGAGCTTGCCCTCTCTGGCATCAGTTATGGGCATATAAATTTACTGTGGAAATAATGAGCCAGTTAGCAGGAAGTAACAGTATTAGAATTTTAATATTATACCCGCAGCACTGTGCTGTATCTAAGCATCAAATAACAAAGAACTTTCAATGATTCTTGTACTTCCAAGATAATGCTTGCGTTTGTAACCATAGATCAGAATAATAATTTACATGTTGTTAGTAGTATGTTTTGAAACATATTGAAGCTATTGACTAAATTAGATTTTTATTAAAGCTCTGTTATGTGGGGACTGATTTTTAACTCCTTTTAATGTTATCTGAGTGATGAAGTTACTAAAGTTTGATGATGACTTCATTTGAAAATGGTAGGGAATTTTTCCTAAATGCTTTCTATTTTTAATAATTTCTTCAGAATTTGAACTAATAAAAATGATGAATGAAATTCAGAGTAATTTAAAATGCCTTGGTCTTTTGGAGCCTTATTTCTGGAGAAAGGGAGAAGCTTGTGCAGTAAGGGGATCAGATACCTTGTGGTATCGAGGCAAAGTAATGGAAGTCATTGGCGGCACTATCAGGGTGAGTCTGAAATTCTTTTGTGACTATTTTAAGGCTAAGTGCTATGACATTAAGAGGCCTTTCAAGTTCAGATACATGAAATTTTGATTAAAACATCTTTTAATGAGTTCATTCATGTAGGAGAATCACTTAGATGCATTATATATTTATTTGTAATAAGAATTCCTCTTTTTATTTTCAAGTATATTTATTAACCTGAATAACAAAAATATATTTCCAGATAGGAATTTTTACCACTGAAACTTTAATGGTACCACTTATTTGTAATTGGCAACCTTATTTCTGTGCATGGTGCTAAGTAAAACAACTTATTTTCCAGTATATTCTATATCTCCTTAGTAACTTTGTTTACGGGACCCCCTAATTTACCCTTTCACATTAGGGTTAATTTACCCTTTCCAGAATACTAAGAACAGTACTTGAGTTTCATCTAAAATCTTCAGAAAGAGCTGCATACAGTTGACCCTTGAACAGCACTAGGGCTGGGGAGCCGACACTCTGTGTAGCTGACCTGAGTATAATTTATATCATTCTTCCATGTCCACGGTTCTGTGTCGCGGATTCAATCAGCTGTCGATCGTGTAGTGCTGTAGTAGGTTTTTACTGAAAAAAATCCATGTGTAAGTGGACCCTCATAGTTTAAACCCGTGTTGTTCAAGGGTCAACTGTACTTTGAATATATGTGTATATAAAAATATAGATGGAAAATGCCTCCATTTACATGGTACTTAAAGTATAGCAATGAATCAAGAGACATTCAGCCTGTGAAGATTTTGGTTTTAGGTGGGGAGGGAAAATTAAGAAGAAAAGTCTTCTGTTAATACTTGCACAGGAGATTATTATCTCATTTGATGATGATACCTGACAATAACGTAGCACTTCAGGTTTCTAAGCTTTTTTCACATATGTGCGTTCGTATTTTCTTGTTTGTTTCCAACTATCATAGATGTAGATTACTATTCCCATTTTACCAGTAAGAAAATTGAAATTTATGTTCAGTGATGTGCCTGAGGTCAACATGTCAGTGGGTGGTGGTACTGGAATTCATATCTAAGCATCTGATTCCAAAATTTCTGAACTAAGCCTTGTGCTTTTTGTGCTGGAATACAGACTTTACAGGGTTTTTTTTTTTTCCTGGAAGGTATCTTTTATTTTTATTTTTTAAAATTTTTATTGCAGTATAGTTGATTTACAATGTTGTGTTAGCTTCAGGTATACAGCAAAGTGATTTAGTTATACATATACATTTATTTATTGTCATAGGTTTTTAAAAAAATTTTATTTATTTAATTTATTTATTTTTGGCTGTGTTGGGTGTTTGTTGCTGCACACGGGGTTTCTCTAGTTAGCCGCGAGTGGGGACTACTCTTTGTTGAGGTGTGCGGGCTTCTTACTGTGGTGGCTTCTCTTGTTGCAGAACACAGGCAGGCTCTGGGCGCGTGGGCTTCAGTAATTGCAGCACACGGGCTCAGTAGTTGTGGCTCGTGGGCTCTAGAGCACAGGCTCAGTAGTCGTAGCGCATGGGGCTTAGTTGCTCTACAGCATGTGGGATCTTCCCAGACCAGGGATTGAACCCATGTCCCCTGCGTTGGCAGGTGGGTTCTCAACCACTGCACCACCATGGAAGCCCTTCGCAGATTTTTTTTTTTTTTTTTTGCGGTACGCGGGCCTCTCACCGTCGTGGCCTCTCCCGTTGCAGAGCACAGGCTCCGGACGCACAAGCTCAGCAGCCATGGCTCACGGGCCCAACCGCTCCGTGGCATGTGGGATCTTCCTGGACTGGGGCATGAACCCGTGTCCCCCACATTGGCAGGCAGACTCTCAACCACTGCACCGCCAGGGAAGCCCCTTCATATGTTTTTAATAGAAGTAAGATGGTTTCAAATTTTGGATTACTATTTAGGTATATGGATACTCAACAGATTCATGTGTTTATATGCAAATGAGTCTATTTTCACATACATTTGAATTGTTCAGATAACTTTTTTAATCTAAAAGTAAATTGAAATGCAATTTTCATTAATTTATTAAATTCATAATCTTTATATAGGATCCAAATAAGATAGTGGTGAACTATATTTTTTTCATACTTTCTAATACCTCTTTTTTAAATTTGAGAGTATTTTGATATTTTAATCATTTTTAATTTTTTTCCTATGCATTTCAAGTATACACAATAAATTTTTCATTCCTTAACCTGATATCTTTCAAGGTTATCCTGTGATCCACATTAAGAAATAGACATTACATGTAATTGTACTTACCCTAACTACCTGTAATGTACTCTGATAATTTTTATTCAGTTCTGTTTCATTTTTTTAATGCTGACTGCCAAGACAGCCCAATTAAAGTGATATGTTAATTTCATTAAATTGGAGTAACAGAAGTAACTTACTGACATTCCTTATTCTTGAAACAATTTAGAAACTGAATTATCAAAATTAAAGCATTTTTAAAAATGGACTGTTGAGGACTTCTAGTTTCTGGTTCCACGTTTAAGAAGCTTTGAAGTTGCCACACCACCCTAACAGCAAGTAAAAAGCTGAACAAACTGAAAAATCTATAACTCTTCTTGTATCTGTAAGAGAGGGGGAGTACAAAGGGCAAACCACTGACCCAACAGTTAGAGAGTCAGGTGAATATAGGGAGTCACAGCTTATGGGAGCAGAGACTGACGACCAGAACGCTAATGGAAGAATTGCTGGAAATTTTTTTTTTTTTTTTTTTTGGCCGCACCACATGGCTTGTGGGATCTTAGTTCCGCAACCAGGGTTGAACCCGGGCCCTCTGCAGTGAGAGCCTAGAGTCTTAACCATTGGACTGCCAGGGAATTCCCAAGAATTGCTGGAATTCAGTGTGGGCAACTCTGAGAGGCAAAAACTCCAGGGAACCCAGTCATCAGAAGGTTCCACACGGTTCTATGAGATTTATCTCCAAGAGCTTGACCAGTTTCTCACATAAATATCAGAGATGCTTCCAGCAGGGGAAGGAGAAAAGGAACCATTTTGAAATATGCTAGAGCATTCTGTTTTTCTTAATAAGGCCTGCACTCAGGAGACAGTAGTTAAGCAGGGCCTAAGCATCTGGAGTATTATCAGAGCCTAATCAACCTGGGGGAAAGGAAATTACCCAATTCCAGTTAACTCTAGCTTTCCACATTGGAAAAAGACCCAACTCCAGCTCACTATATCATCCTTTCCCACTTTAGGGAGTAGAGCAAAAAACTGAGAAACACTTGTGAAGTTCACAGTCTGAAAGCATAGTCTCAGTGAAAGACTGAGACGTAATCATAAGACTAGAACATTTCCCCTCCCGCCACACCTTCCTACCACGTTACTGAAGGCCCATTTATAGCAGTTCCTTTTACACAGTACATGTCTGGCTATCAAGAAAAAATACAAAACAGTATGATATTGGCATAAAAAAAAGATGCATAGATCAGTGGAATAGAATAGCCTAGAAATAAACCTACGCACATGTGAACAATTAATTTATGACAAAGCCAAGAATATACAATGGGGATAGGACAGTCTCTTCAATAAATGGTGTTGGGAAAACTGGACAGCCACATGCAAAAGACTGAAACTAGACCACTATCTTAAACAGTACACAAAAATTAACTCAAAATAGATTATAGGGTTTCCCTGGTGGCACAGTGGTTGAGAGTCCACCTGCCAATGCAGGGGACACGGGTTCGTGCCCCGGTCCGGGAAGATCCCACATGCCACGGAGCGGCTAGGTCCATGAGCCATGGCCGCTGAGCCTGCGCGTCCAGAGCCTGTGCTCCGCAACGGGAGAGGCCACAACAGTGAGAGGCCCGTGTACCACAAAAAGAAAAAGAGTAGCTGTAATGATTTCAGAACAGACTCAAAGCAAGGAAGGTTATCAAGGAAAAAGGGCATTACATAATGAAAAAGGGTCAGTTTTCCAAGAAGACATAAAATTCTGAATGTCTTAATAAATTCTTAATATGGCCCTAAGAACAGAGAGTCAAACTACATGAGGCAAAAACTAGTAGAACTGCAAGGAGAAATAGGTGTATCCACTATCATAGTTGGAGACTTCAACATTCCCCCCCCCCCCCCCCCCCCAGAAATGGACAGATCCAACTGGCAGAAAAGAAAATCAGACATAACTGAATTCAAAAACAACATCATCAACTGCATATAATTAGCATCTATAGAATTATTCTTCCAACAACAGCAAGATACACATTGTTAAGCTCACATGGAATTTTCACCAAGATAGACTATATTCTGGGCCGTAAAACACACCTTAAATTTAAAAGAATAGGAATGAGTGTTTGCTCTCAGACCACAGTAGAGTTAAACTAGAAATCAGTAAGAGAAAGACAGCTGGAAAATCCCAAAATGCATGGAGATTTAACAGCAAACTTCCAAATAACACATGGGTCAAAGAGGAAATCTCAAGAGAAATACTAAAATATTTTGAACTAAATGAAAATGAAAACAACTTACAAAATTTTTGAGATGCAGCTAAAGCAGTTTTGAGGGGAAAATTCATTGCATTGAATGCATATATTATAAAAGAAGGAAAGTCTAAAATCAGTTATCTATGTTTCTACCTTAGAAAATTAGAAAAAGAAAAAAAAAGCCAAAGTAAGCAGAAGAAATAATAAGAGCTTCTGACCAGGTAGAGCTTAAATCTGTGAATCCCTGAAAACAGGAATTCAAGGAAAAAAAATTAATGAGATTTAAAGCTGGTTCATTGAAAAGTTTGATAAAATCGATAACCCTCTAGCCCGGCTAGCCAAGAAAAAAAAAAGAAAAAGGACGCAAATTACTAATATCAGAAATAAAAGGGATATCAGTACAGATTTAATGAACATTGAAAGATAAAGGAATACTGTGAACAAGTATGCCCACACACTGGATAACCTAGATGGACTAGACCGTGTACCGCTTAAAAAAAAAAAAAAAAAAATGCAAGAGACTCATCAAAAAACTCTTGGAACTAGTAAACAATTACAGGAAGATTGCAGAATATAAGGTTAATATACATAACTCAATTTCTTTCTCATATACTAGCAGTGAACAGATGAAATTTGAAATAAAAAACACAATACCATTTTACGTTAGCACCCCCAAAACAAAATACTTAGGTATAAATCTAACAAAATATATACAAAGATATATAAGAGGAAAACTGCAGAACTCTGATGAACAAAATCAAAGAACAAAATTAATGGAGCAACACTCTGTTCTTGGATAGGAAGACTCGATGTCAAGATGTCCGGTCTTTTCAACTGTATTTATGGATTCAGTGCAATCCTAGTCAGAATTCCAGCAGGTTATTTTGTGGATATCAGCAAACTTTATTCTTAAGTTTATATGGAGAGACAAGAGTCGGGATAGACAACACAATATTGAAGGAGAAGGAACAAAGTTAAAGGACTGGCAACACTAGGCTTCAAGACTTAGTATAAAGTTGATCGAGACAGTGTGGTATTGGCAAAGCAAAATACAAATAGATCAATGGAATAGACTAGAGAACACAGAAATAAACCCACATAAATATAGTCAGTGATCTTTGACAAAGGAGCAATGGCGATGCAACTGAGCAAAGATAGTCTTCTCAGCAAATGGTGCTGGAACAATGGAACATCCACATGCAAAAAAATCTAGACACAGATTTTATACCTTCCATAAAAATTATCTCTAAATGGACTAAAGACCTAAATGTAAAACATAAAACTGTAAGACTCCTAGAAAGACAACATAGAAACGTAGATGACCTTTAGTATGGCAATGACTTTTTAGATACAGCACCAAAGACATGACCCATGAAAGAAATAAGGTACAAGCTGGACTTCATTAAAATTAAAAACTTCTCCTCTGCAAAAGACAATGTCAGGATAATGAGAAAACAAGCTAAACACTGGGAGAAAATACTTGCAAAATATACATCTGATAAAGGACTGTTATCCAAAATATACAAAGAACTCTTAAAATTTAACAGTAAGGAAACAAGCCAATTTAAAAAATGGACCACAGACCTTAACAGATACCTCACCAAAGGAGACATACAGATGGCAAATAAGGATATGAAAAGAAGTTCCACATCATATGTCACCAGGGAAATGCAAGTTAATACAAGATAGCACTACACATATGCTAGAATGGCCAAAATTTGGAACACTGACGACACCAAATGCTGGTGAGGATATGGAGCAACTGAAACCCTCCACTGCTGGTGGGAGTGCACAGTGGTACATCTACTTTGGCAGACAGTTTGGCGGTTTCTCAACAACTAAATCTACTCTTAACATATGATCCAGCAGTTGCAACACTCCTTGGTATTGTTGACCTGAAATCAGCAGACTGCCAGATACTTCTCCAGCAAAGTTGGGTTTATTCAGGATCAGCAGAGAATTACAATTCAGGGTCTGCAGGAACGTGCAAGTTCCTGCAAAGCAAGGAAAGGAGAACACGTTTATAGAGAAGAAAAGGAAGTGGGTATGTCTCTAGTAAACAAAGAGTCCGTGGCTTTTCATTGGCTGAGTCCTTCCCAGGAAAGAAGAGTCTGGATTCCTCCTGTTGGGCTCTGCTATCATCAAAGGACATGGAGCTCCCCTTTCTGATCTCCCAAGTCTGTTTAATTGAGGTTTCTGTTTATTAAATGTTTACAGTATTTACCCAAAGGAGTTGAAAACGTCCACACAAAAACCTGTTTATAGGAGCTTTATTCATAATTGCCAAACTTGGAGGCACCCAAGATGTCCTTCAGTAGGTGAACTGCATTCATACAATGGAATATTATTCAGTGCTAAAAAGAAATGAGCTATCAAGCCATGAAAAACCATGGATGAACCTTAAATGCATATCACTAAGTGAAAGCAAGTCTGAAAAGGCTACATATACTGTATGACTCCAACTATATGACCTTCTAGAAAATGCAAAATATGGAGATAGTAAAAAGATGAGTGTTTGCCAGGGGTTGCGGGGAGGGAGGACAGAGGATTTTTAGGGCAATGGAAACACCCTTTGTTTTCACAGAGCGTGTTTATACATTTGTCAGTCCCATAGGGTGTACATCACCAAGTGAACCCTAACGTAATCTATATGGACCTTGATTTTGACGTATCCATGTAGGTTCATGATTATAACAAATTACCACTGTGGTGCAGGATGTTATAGTGAGGGAGGCTGGGGTGTGAGGGAAATCTCTGTACCTTTCTCTAAATTTTGCTGTGAACCCAAAATTCTTTAAAACATGAAGTCTTTAGAAAGTTTTTTACAAAATTTGAGGAACATTGGATGACTTAAAAACAAGGTTCTTTCTCATAGGACTTCTCAGAACCTTTATTATGCAATGTGATTCTCCAGGAAGGAAACATTACGTGCAGAGTTTCCCAAACTGTGAAACTGAGGAATACTGAGAATTTGAGAAATGTTCTTTTATTAAATGGAAATCAGGACTTCTAAAATACTTGGAAAAACAAAAGAAAAATTTTTAACACCCTCCAAAAAATTGATTATTCTCAAGAAAAGAAAAAGCTTTTGTTCATTTGTTAAGAAAACTCTCATCTATGGGATGAGAAAATACAGTATTACTTTTTTTCTAGAGATTTTTTAAATCCAGATTTATATCTCCTTCTAGGATGTCTTTTTTTTTTTATTCTCTTTAATACCAGGGAGTCCTTTCTGTCCCCTAGTTTTTAGTAGTAAGTTTTAATTATGAACTTTGTCCTGTTTCAGGTACAATATTTAGATCACGGATTCACTGAGAAGATTCCACAGTGTCATCTTTACCCTATTTTGCTGTATCCTGATACACCCCAACTTTGTATTCCTTGTCAGCTCTATAATACCATACCTGTGAGTAAACAGGGATTTTTAGGATGATTAATTTTAAAATACTGTCTTTATTAACAGTAGTTTTCTAGAAATCAGAATATAAGATGAAATCCCTTTCAGTGCAACAAAAATAATATTTAGAAATAAGCTTACAAGGATGGCTAAAGGGCCTTTATGAAGAAAATGACAAAATTATACTGAAGGATATAAAAATATCTGAATAAATTAAGAGAGATAATCTTCATAGATGGGAATTTTGTTTGCAATTGTTAATTTTTAGTTACGGTTCAAATAAAATTTCAAGAAATTTGAAGCTGGATCAGAGAAGGGATCAGAGAAGGGATCTTGCTATATAACAAATTAAGCTTAAAATTTAGTGGTCTAAATCGACAATAAGCTTTTTAAAAATTTCATACAGTTTCTGTGGCTCAGGCATTGGGAACAGCTTAGCTGGGTGTTTTGGCTCATGGTCCCAAGATGTGCACCAGAAATGCAATAACCCAAAGGACTGACTGGGCTGAAGAACCCGCTTCCAGATGCTCACTCACAGGGCGCTGGCAGGAAGCTGGGGCTCCTCGTGGGCTTTTGGCAGGAGGCCCCAATTTCCTGGCCAAGTGAACCTCTTAACACATAAGACGTAATAGTCACAGCTCCTTAATAAATACACATTGTAGTCAGTATACAAGCACTGCTTTGGCATATTAGCCTCTTTTAAAAGTTTTATGATGCTTTGTTTTTAGTGCTTTAAGAGAGTAACATGGGGGGAAGCTGAGACAAATTATTAGTTTCTTAAGATTTTTATCATATACCCATGATATTCTCTGAAAGCTGCCTATATATTTTGTCCTTCTCTCTAGTGTTATCTGTTTATGGCTACTTTTGTGCATCTTCATGTACTTCCTGCTTTTATTTTGTGAAAGAATCTGAGTTTATTAATCCCAAATAGGTCGGGAATGTCTGGCAACCAGATGCAGTGGAACTCCTTCAGGAACTGCTTTCAAAGAGAGAGGTGGAAGTTCACATTATGGTAATTTGTATTTAAAGCATATATCATTGGGACTTCCCTGGGAATCCAGTCGTTAAGACTTTGCCTTCTGATGCAGGGGCTGTGGGTTTGATCCCTGGTCGGGGAGCTAGGATCCCACGTGCCTCTCGGCCAAGGGACTAAAAAACAGAAGCAATATTGTAACAAATTCAATAAAGACTTTAAAAATGGTTCACATCAAAAAATCTTTAAAAAACCAACTTCAAAAAAAAATTAAAAATAAAGCATATATCATTGATTTAGTTTATTTGCCATAAAGTGTTACAGGTAATATAATTTGAGGGATTTTTTTATGAACTATGTTCCTATGTGATTATCAGTTACTCGTTAACATAAAAGAAGTTACCACTTTGGTTCCTAGGCTCATTTTAAATAAACCTAATTTTGAGCAAGTTCCTGAGAACTTCCGTAAGCAAGTAATTTGGAAGATTCCTTATTAACAACTTACTTTGACACGAGGAGAGTACTAAGGAAGTAGAGGTGTTTATAAACACACATGGTAGTTTTCAGGATGGTGCTGTGTGTGTAGCACTGTGTTAGGTGCAGGTAATTCCCGTCCTCAAGGGCCCTGTCTAGTTAGTGAAACAGTGAGACACAAGACAAAACCCTAAAGACTTTATACCACAACTTGCTGAGAGCCAGGTGGGTGGCTGGTAAAAAAGAGTGAATGTAATAGGAATGTACAGACGCACTTAAATAAGAAAGTGGAGAAGCCTCTCTGGTTATTCACAGCCTCTGTGGACAGTCACGGAAGTCCTGCAGAGATGGGAACTGTTCAGGTTAACCAGGTGGCTTTCTTTGCTGCTTAGCTTAGCCTAGGAAAACAGTGTGGCATATACCAAGGTACTGGATTTCTCAGAAACCATGCCTGTGCCTGCCCTTGCAGCCCTGCTGCCGTAGCGGACCTTCCCCAGAAGTGTTCCTCCTACCATACGTGCTCATGGCACGGACCCGGTGCCTCTTACCTGCTGGGCTCTGTCCTGGGCCTGCAGGCGCAGCAAGAGCCAAATAGAAGCTCCTGCCTCCGTTGAGCTTCCATTTTAGTGATGGGAAGTAAAATGAAAAAAATATATGTATAAGATATGTTAAATAGTAGTGCTGGCTAGAAAAATGAATTAGGAAAGGCTGATAGGGAGAGGTAGGCGGGGGAGGAGATAACATTTTAAATACAGTGATCAGAGAAGACATCCCTAAAAAGATAAACCGAGTGGTGAGAGGACACACCACGCAGTTACCAGATCAGTGCAGAGAGCTGCAGGGCAGGAGACGCCTGGAGTGTCCAAGGAGCAGACGGACAGACGGAGGTGGGAGGCCACCTGTGAGAGGTGCAGTTGTCGCTGCGCGGAGGTGGATGTGATCTGACCTCACAATCTACTGTTTTCACTTTGCACTGGTGAAAACTGGACTGTAGAAAAAGGTAGAAGCAGGAGATCAGCTGGAAGGTGATTACACTTAACTCAGCAGAGACATGAGTTTGGACTAAGGTGGTACCGAGTGGAAACAGCAAGGAACGATCAGCTTATCAGTCATGTGCATTTTGGTACCTAATGTTTGTAAATGGACCCACGGGTTTTAAAGCCACTATATGACTCCTAGACTGTTGTTAATTTTTTCTGATTCCTGCCATTTTTGGATTTTTAAATTTCATTTCTTTACCCCTGAGCATACTTTTTCTTTCTCCTTCTACTTAGTATAAATTATTAGTATTATCTAAAGATGATGTATAGCAAATTGTTTTCTTCACATAACTAGAAAACTCTCTACCTTATGGACATGTAAATATAGTTTATTAAAACCAGAGTAGTAGCATTATTGCCTCATTATCTGCCAAAATACCAGGAAGAAAATTTTACAAAACGAGTCACTAGTCAAACTAGTAATACTGTGATTGTCAGAAATCTAATTTCATTTTTGCCAACTGTGAAATTTTAATCTTCAAGCAGACTTTATTTTTATAGTAATAATCTCCTTTATTGAACTTAAATAGGAATTACCAGAAAATCCATGGGAGAAATTATCTGTTCATCTCTATTTTGATGGAATGTCACTTTCTTATTTTATGGCACACCATAAGTATTGTACTTTTGAACATTCTGAGGAAATATTGAAGGAAGTAAGTGAACTATTTTTCTATAAAAATCTAAACTATAGAAAAAGAAACTGTGGTTAAGATGTCATATTTTGTCTTATGCCTCAAGCTTTCCATATAGTTCTACATGCCTGATATGTTAAGAGGGTCTAGAGGATTTGTAAATTCTTTATTGAGAAAGCAATACCCTATATCATGCTTTATAAAGTCCTAAAAAAGACTTCAATTGCATTGAGTCACTCAGTTTTCTATATCTTCAAACCTAATGAGAAGCTCATATGTTCTCTAACATTGTTTGAATATAGATGTAAATTATAAAATCATAATGGAATTCACTGCCAGAAACGACTCTCTCCCAAGATAAAATGATTTTGCCTTATATTCAGTATTATAACATTTCCCCCAGTTTGCTTTCTTACAGGGAACTCAGAGCCAGATTTTAAGCTTAGCTTCAGTAAATAGCCCGTTCCAGTTGCCTGGTGCTTCTGTTTTTAATATTTTAAAAAACATAATTAGTCTGTTACAGATACGATTTCACATTGCAGGCTGCCACAAATACTTTATAGAAATAGGGTACTCATCATAAATAAGAATGTGAACATTTTATATAGCAAGATATTTTTAGACTTGAAGTTCACTTGTTAGGTTTTTGAATATTCATTTTAGTGATAGTACACAACCAAATAGTGGGTGTTCAGTTCAGTATAGGAAACTACTTTCTTCTCTCAAATAGGAAACTATGACATAACTTTGTGCATGCAATGCTTACAGCCAGTTGTTTCTTTTGAGCATAGAGGTGTGTGTGTGCACGTGCGCATGCGTGCCCCCCATGTGTTTGTGTAAAGGGTGTTTCATCTGTTAAACAGGTTTATAAAGATTACTTAGTCTCTCTGCCAGGTGTACTCTTCAGTGTGAACATTTAAAAGGAAAGGTAAGAGCTCCCACTCTTATTATAAACTAATGACAACTGACATGCTTTTAGCATAACTTTGAGGATCCTTGTTGCAATATTAAGATCACTCAGAACACTAAATTTTCCCAGAGTTAAGCTGAAATGAATCCAACAAGGTCATGCACAGTTTTTGTGGGATGAAATATGAAAGTGCCTTAAAACAATATTACATAGTTAAAGATAGTTTTATTCATTAATAATACTATATTATTTCAGAAACCAACAGATTACAATAAAAAGTATGATGAAGAGAGATGGGAAATAAGGTTTGAGGTAAGTTTCAATCCAAATATTTTGAAAATTTGGACACTTCATCAATACAGATAATCTGATACAAGATCAGGAAGGTAAGCATAACAGCTTTATTGAGATAATTTACATACCATAAAATTCAACTTTTTAAAGTGTACAAGTCAGTGGTTTTTAATAATATTCATAGAGTTGTGCAATCATCACAACTATCTAATTCCACATTTCATCTCAGAAAGAAGCTCCATACCAGCAGCAGTCACTTTCCATTTCCCCTTCCCCAGTTTCCTGGAAACTGTTTCTGTGAGTTTGTCTATTCTGGACGTTTCATATAAAGGGAATCATAGCCTTTGTTACTGGCTTCTTTCATTCAGCCTAATGTTTGCAGGGTTGAATCATGTTGTAGTATGTGTCCTTTTTATTGCTGAATAATATTCCATTATACAGATACACCACATTTTGTTTATCCATTCATCTGTTGATGGATACTTGGGTTGTTTTTACCTTTATGGATAGTGAATTAAAGCTACTATGAACGTTTGTGTACAGATTTTTAAGTGGATGTCTGTTTTCGGTTCTCTTGAGTATGGACCTAGGAGTGGCATTACTAAGTCATATGGTGACTGTGTTTACCATTTTAAGGAACTGTGAAACTGTTTTCCAAACCAGCGGCATCATTTTACTTTGGTACTAGGATTGTACAAGGTTCCACTTTTTCCATATCCTCACCAACACTTATCTTTTTTCCTAGCCATCTTAGGATAGGTGTGAAGATACAAGTCCCTTATCAGATATGATTTGCAAATATTTTCTCCCATTCTGTGGGTTGTCTTATCACTTTCTTGATGGTATCCTTTGAAACACCAGAGTTTTAAATTTTGATGGAGTCTAGTTTATCCTTTTTATCTTATTTTTTCTTTTGTCACTTTTGCTTTTTGGTGCAAGAAGTGTTTTCATAAGTAAAATTTTATCATTTAAAAAATTTTAAGTAGAATTTAATTCCTATAATTATGAAAATGACATGCTTGTTGTAAAGTGTTTTGTAACAAATCAGTAAAATTCAACAGTAGGTAGTCACTTCTTGCTGAAATCTAAGTGGTTCAAATATGTTTTGTTTTGCCACCAGTTTGGAAATGTTAAATAGTAATAAGTGAGTCTACAAATTTGAATATGATTGTTTTAGTATTTATCACCATATTCAAGTTTTTTTTAACTTACTAAAAGAAAAATCCCCTATATTTTTATATGTATATTTTAACAACTGCTAACTGCCTTGATCCTCTTTGGAATCATAACTTTTAATTACTTGTTATGCTTTTATAGAGCTTAAGAGAGAGCACACTTTTTCGTGATTTTTTTTTTTTTTTTTTTTTTTTTTTTTGG